GCCAGGGGCGAATCGCACCCGGGAGTGCAGCGGCGCAGCTCTCGGCACGCCGCTGCGGGGCCGCTGGCGCTGGCGCCGATCGATTCGATGCGATCGCGCGCGCTCCAGGCACTGGCGGCCGAAGGCCCCCCGAAGCCGTCGCCGCCTGGCCGGCCCTTTAAGCCAAAAAATCAGCGCAAAGCTCACTTCGCAGATCCTTGCGCCCCCGCGGAGGCCCCGCTGGCCTCGCGGGCCCTGGCGGCCCCCCTGCGCGCGTCGCGCTCGCGCCGCTTGAAACTCGCCGCCGCGATGCCTGGGAGAGAGAATCGGCGAGACGCCCCGAAGAAAAACCACCATCTCGGAAAAGAGCAATAAGATTCGCCACCGCCGCCCGCGCCGCCGCTGCGACCCCAGACCCTCGAGTCGGCATTCGGTGCCGTGATCTGCACCTTCCACTTCTGGATGTCAGCCTTCTGCCTGTCAAAACTGCTCCGCGTGCTCGAGGGCCGATCTATGCTGGTGGAGCGGCGAGGGCCGCGGTCGCCTCGGGGCGCCATCTTCTCCCCCCTGTGGTCGCGCCGCTCCTGAGGCACCAAAGTCAGTCGGTGCAACTCGTCGGTGGCGAAGACGCGCAGTGGCGGAGCTAGCGCGCACATGGTCCGGAGACCCCCCAGTGCAGAGATTGAATTGGGTCACCGATCAGATCGTCACCTCGCGATGTGGGTAGAACGCGGCCTCCATGACGGCACCGGGCCATCTGTAAACCATGGCAGCCAGCTCGGCACACAAGAACCTGGTAGCATTCAGCCGGTCGCACGTGAGAAGCAGGCGCATGATCGGACAACGTATCTGGCGCACCGACACGTCCTGATCGGATGTGACAACACCGCCCCAGCCTGGAACAATGAATCTCTGGGTCCGAACGTCGCGCCGTTCTCTCTGACGAATGCGCACACCCACTTCTCTGTGCGCGGCCAGCTGGCTGGAACGAGATCCCAAACAGTTCCGGTCAACGAGGACATGTCCTCGCGCATGCCACGGGATCTGGCATGAGTCGACCTGCCAAGCGCCAAAAAATCTAGCGGTGAGCTCGTCGCCGCCGTCAGCAGGGAGAGCCCCGCCAACATAGTCCTGTCGTCGACCTTCCCGATACCGGACCCCGCTCAGACTATGAACGCGTCGAGCCCCTTATCCGTAACAGTATTTTTGCCGCTTCCGTCGCTGCTAGCCAACGCCTGCCAGACTGCTGGAATGGCGTCAAGCAGCTTGCCGCGACCTGAAGCCCACCCAATAAGAGCTTTCACGTTCGACCCCGAAGAACACGCTGTCACAGCCGCCGCCCGCTTCGGTGGCCGCAACTGGGGGGTCACAGTCCTCCGCTTCCTCCGCTGCTAGACTTACGCCCAAGACCTCGTTGATGGACTGGCCCACAACATGCACCAGGAGGGCGAACTCCGCGGCCGAAAATCTGCAGTCGCAATCGTGTGCTGCGAGGCCCGCTGGGTTGCCCCCCTTTGCTCGCGATTTGAAGGTGGTTTCACATTTCGTACGGCACGCTAATCCGCAGTGCCTGGACAGTCAACTCGTGAGCGCGACCCCCGTCATTACCGTGTACTACTACGGGGCGCAACTAATCAGAGCTATCCGTTATCGGACAGGTTTGCCATCTTGCCACTGGAAACTCGAATCGCTGGCCGGCGAACACGATTGCCAGCGCTGCCGCTCCCAGCGCAGGGAACCCAGCTGGGTAAAGGCGAGCCAGAAATCCGCGACTCCACCCACTGTGCCTCGCAACGCGTTGCAGCCAGCCCCAGGGACGAGCCAGCTGCCGGCAGCTGACCTCAAGGAGAGCGCCTCGGACCACATCATGGAGCAGTCATTCATCTGGCTAAGGCTCCAAAAAGAGCGGAACCCGAACGGCCACGGAATAAAGCAGACCACAACGAACAACATTCTGAAATGATGGCGACTGCGGTCGCAATGACGATGGCGATGATGATGGGGCCGATGATGATGATGATGCTGATGATGATGATGATGCTGATGATGATGATGATGATGGAAATGATGGTGATGGTATTGATGATGATGATGATGATGATGATGATGATGATGATGATGATGATGATGATGATGGTGATGGTGATGGTGATGGTGATGGTGATGATGATGATGATGATGATGATGATGATGATGCTGATGGTGAGGAGGATGATCATGGTGACGATGACGACGATGATGGTGGTGATTGGAAGGAGGATGGGAAGGAGCAGAAGGAAGAGGAAGAGAAGGATCAGGAGAAGGACAAGTAAGAGGACAAGGATGAGAAAGGGCATGTCGGAGATGAGAAGGGGGAGGGAGAAGAGCAGCGTGAGGAGTGGCACCAGCGGGGCGGCAGGTGAAGCTGTGCTGTTTCAGCTGCGATCTGGGGGGGGCACCCTGTGCTACAACCTGGACCTCGCGACACACTGCCGTGCGCAGCCAGCATGTGCTCCCCTCGCTGTCCTGACTTACCTTGCCCCCTCCTCCTCCTCCTCCTCCTCCTCCTCCTCCTCCTCCTCCTCCTCCTCCTCCTCCTCATCGTCCTCCTCCTCCTCCCCTCCGCCTCCCCCTCCCTCCCTCGAGCACGTCCGTCCGTGCGTAACTGGGCCATGTGCAGAAGTCCTCTTCACTTTACTTCGAGGGAGGGAGGGTGGAGGGGAAGTGAGGACGAAGGAAGAGCGGGGCGTACGAAAAAGGATCGCGAGGAACCTCGAGGGGAGGGAGGGCGGAGGAAGGGAGAAGGTCCTCGGCTTCCATAGGAGGGGCCGTTCATGCACCGTCGAGAAGGGTGGCGTCGCGATCCGGGAAACTGCGGATATGAGCTGCGATTCCCCGGTGCTCCGAGACGAAGCGTCACCGCTGCCAAGTTTTGCCCTCGACCGAGGATCAAGAATGGTGGTCGGACGTGTTCGGCCCCTGTCGGGCCTCCGGAAACGTCCAGGGACTCCGCGGGGACCTCTGGTGTTCAGGATCCGAGGCGGCTCCTCAATTTACCAATCACCACGGACGCTCCCGTGCGACCTCCTCCTACTCTTCCTCCTCCTGCTCCCCTCCTGCTCCATCCATCCGACATATGTATATGCATATGTCGATGCATATGTGTATACATATATACACGTACACAAACATATTCACGTCGAGCTCGAAAACGTGTCGGCACGGTGCCTGGACAAAAAAAGTCCACGCCGACGGCGTGAAGACAATCAGGCATGATGGCAACGTCAATTGCAATATACATGTGGCTCGCCCCCCTTCACCCCCAAATCCAAAGTTGAAGTGTCCATATTTTGTCCCCCGCGCGTTGCCTCGCACCCAACCCCGTCAACTTTGGGTTTGGGGGGGGGGGCGGGGGCTATGGATATTTGTTCGACGCAGTTCGATGTCGGATCGTATTGGTGCGATGGGTGTGGACACTTTTTGTCCACCCACCGTAGCGCGGGTTGGGCATGTCGCCCGAGACTTTTTCTCCGCCGTTTTTCCTGAAGCTTGAACTTTGCAATTGTTTCAAAACTACGGGCGCATTCGTTCGCCTTAGTGCTGCGCGCACTCGTCCGAAAAACTTGCAGCACCTTCAACGATGGAGGGGGTGGTTTTCTAAATGTGATTCTCGCGATGCTGGCGCGCACACGTGCCCTAAATAATTGCAGCCGCTTCAAGGATGAAGGGGGGGCGTTTCAAAAGTGGAAGTGTCGCCAACGCGCCGACCACATTCGCCTTGATATTTTGCAGCGGCTTCAAGGATGGACGGCGGTGCCTTGTGAACATGGAACTCATGCCTGAGCTCCGCGCACATTCGACTTGACAGTTTGAAACAGCTTCAAAGATGGAGGTCGGTTCCTTTTCAAAATTGGCTCCGGCCTTCGCGCTGCGCACATTCGTCTTAAACGTGTGCATCAATCGCACATGCAATGGGCGTGTTTTTTTAAGATGTTATACAACATTCTTCTGTTTTTGCATCAATCTCACGTGCAAAAAAAGCTCCTCCCACGACATCTGCGACTTGAATACCAGCAACTTGAACATATGTAGCAATTTCCAGTATGCAGGGTCGTGTCTTTTCAGCAAGGGGCGTTCGCTTGAGACTCTTTTCGCGTGTGCATGCCAAAAGGAGAACAGATGGTACGGCCGCACGGACGGAGGGCGGCTCCTGGTCCAGAGTGAGGCCTTGGCGTGTCCCTTTCTCGACGCTCATCGCCAGAAGCGGAAGCTGCGCGACACGTGCACACATTGGGCACATGGGGGAGCGCTTGTCTCCGCAGTGGGACCTCGCTGGGCACCTCTCTGAGCCGTGTGCTCCCAGTTGGTGTTGTGGAGCGCCCCAAGGGCGCGCTCCATATCGCCAACTGGAAGCATGCACGGCAATGGGTTCGTTCTCAGAGCGGCGGGCTCGCCTGAATGGTAGGCTCACGTGGTGCTGGTCCTTCGGAAACGCTTCTTGAAGTGGAAAGGAACGCTTGCAGGGACTTCAAGATAGGGGACTTGAGACGGGAGGGTGTATTGCAACATCGTTGATGCATCTTGGGTCCTGGGTTTACTCTGTTCCTTCTTCTTGCCCCACCGGGAGCTCTGAAGGAATCGCCGGACTATGTGTCTCCTTTCTCTTTCCCCCAGTGGTGTGCGACCCTCGCCGTCCTCATCCTCCCTCCTCTTCGAGCCGACGCTGTCCAAGGAGATGCACCGATGAAGCGGAAGTGTTCAGTTTCCGAGCTGCGGGGGCACTCTGCTACACTCCCGATGTTCCTTTACCCTGTCAAACGCAGTCAGCATGCTCAAGATGGGAAGAGACAACAAGTCAGACCACAAATGTAGGGGACACGACAGGGCGCATGATGAGGAGGGCGGGGACCTGGGGCGATGACTGGAGCAAGGATGGAAAGAGAGGAGGGCGGAACAACGCAGAGGAGCATTCTCGTCCGCAATGCTGGCACAAACCACCCTGCCACACCTTCATGCATAAACTGCTTACGCACGCATGCGGCCTTCAAAGGGCAGTGCAAGAAAGCTCTGGGCCCACACGAGGACTGAGCCCAGACAGGAAATACACATAGCTTGTATGCACTTGAGCCCAGACAAGCAATAATCAAACACGCACACAAACCCAAACGCAAACACAAGCACACACACAAACATTAACACCGACAACCACAACCACAATCAAAAGCACAGCCACAATCAAAATCACAACCACAACCACAACCACAATCACAACCACAATCACAACCATAAGCACAACCACAATCACAAGCACAAACACAAGCACAAACACAAACACACAAACACCAACACAAGCACAACCACAAACACGCTCACGACCACAACCACAACCACAATCAAAACCACAACCACAAACATTTAAAAAACACACACACACACACACACTCGCTTCCTCCGGCAATCTAGTGAGCTCCAATCGGCGCTTGACAATAGGCGGGATATGCCAAAACTGACTTAGACTCCCTTTGCGAGGCAGCGTGGGAAGATCTGACGATCCCACGGCACATACACACAAGCACGCGCATACACAACTTCACACGTACACGCAACCACACGCACAAGCGGTCAAGCAACATACTCATCAAGGTAACGACGTAAAACCAATGTGGGGCCAAAACCACATAATAACCATACATGTCCCGTAACATGCGGACTCGGTGTGTCGCTTTTCGTGCTTATATGACGGCACCAGAGGCCCCGGAGACCCGCCCAAGATGGCCAAAAACAAAAGCCCAAGAGACGCCCAGAAGGGGGAACTCGAATGGGGGCTCGAAAGCCATTCAACCCAAGATGGCCCCAGAGACCGTCAGCAGCCTCCCCAGAGGCCACCAAGAGGCCGCCAGGAGTCCCCCCCCAGAGGCCCCCTAAGAGGCTTCTGCGGGGGCTCCACGACGCCCACGTGAGCATCCAAGAGGCCCCTTTCGTCCACGACTCGGGCACGGTGGCGGGATGGGCCAAACGCCGCTAAATCCGCCGCCCCCTGCTTGCAGGGGTGCACGGCGTGCTGGACGTTTCAGGTTTTGGTTTTGGTTCTTTTTCTAAAAGAACTCCCCAGTGGGCTTCGGCCCGTCCCGCCGGCCACCAGGAAAGGATGCCCAGGAGCTCAATTCCCCAATTTCCTGCCCCAGACGGTTCCAAGATGGCCTCCAAGATGCCTCTAAGACGGCCAGGATGGTCTCTAAGACGGCTAAGATGGCCTTATGATGCCTCCAAGACGGCCAAGATGGCCTCCAAGACGGGTAAGATGGCTCCAAGATGCCTCCAAGACGGCCCAAGATGCCCTCCAAGACGGCCAAGATGGCCCCAAGATGCCTCCCAGATGGCCCAAGAGGCCTCCAAGACGTTCTCCAGGAGAGCCCGAAGAGGCCAAAATCATTGGTTTTCCTTAGGTTTTTGAAGGTTTTTTGCGTTTTCTTCTTTTCGGCCTTCCGACGGCCCAAGAGGCCCCCAAGATCGCCCAAGAGGCCTCCAAGAAGGCCCTATGACGGCCCAAGGGCCCCCCAAGACGGCCCCAAGAGCGCCCCAAGACGGCCCAAGAGGCCTCCAAGACGCCCAACATGGCCTCCAAGACGGCCCTGAAGCGCCCCAAGAGGGCCCCAAGACGGCCCAGAGAGGCCCCCAAGACGGCTCCAGACGGCGTCAGACGGACCAGGAACGCCCTACGACGGCCAAAGAGACCCCCAGGAAGCCCCCAAAGGCCCCCAAGAGGCCCAAGGAGGCCCCCAAGATGCCTCCAAGAGGCCTCGAAGAGGCCCCCAAGAAGCCCCCAACAGACCCCAAGGGTGCCCCAAGAGACTCCTAACAACCCTCATCCTCCTACTCTATTTCTTCCTCTTCCTCTTCCTGTTCATAATCATTCTCTCCCATGTGTTCCCCGAAAGCTTTCCAAACCGACTCGGGGAACTCATGGTCCGATAGCTTGGCCAAGCTCTAGTCCAACTTTCGGCCACATCGGCGTTTCCAAAAAGGCAGGGGGCGGCGGTGATTCGCCGTAGGCGTCTTCGATCTGCCAGCCCCCGTACTTCCACAGGGGTGCTTGGCTCGCGGAGTTTTGAAGCCACTTTTGGCCCCTCCAGCAGGCTCCCACTGGCCTTCGGCCCGTTGCGAGGTTTCACCTCGCCACCGAAGAAAGCACCGAAGATTAAAGAAACTAGCTTCCAAGATGGCCTCGACAGCCGAGGATGGCTTCCAAGATGGCCCAAGAGGGTGCCATCTTGCTTCCAAGACTTTTCCCAGACAACCAAGATGGCCCTAAGATCTCTCAGGATGGCCTGGAGAGGGTTCAAGCGTTCAGGCCGTATTGGAAGCCGTCCAGGTCGGCTCAAGAGGCCCACACGACTGAACAATCTGTCAGTGATCGGTATGAGTCGGTCTCCCCGCGCTTTCGGTCTGAAGAGCGCTCAAGACTGCCCCAGAGCCCCCAGAACTGCCCCAAGACGGCCCACATGAGCCCCAAGAGGACTCGAAGACGGCCCCAGAGGGCCCCAAGACGGCCCTACATGAATCCAAGACGTAAGAGGGCTCCAAGACGACCCCCAGAGTGACACTCAAGACGGCCGCAGAAGGCGCAGACGGCCCAAGAGCGCCCTAATCCGCCGACCCCCGCTTGCCGGGGCTGAAAAAGCGTGTCTGTCCCCCTCCCCCTGCCCCCCTCGCCAAGGGACCAAAATCCCATTCTAGGATGGGGAAATGCGAGCTCGTCAACGCACCCAGGGGATCTCCGGAATCTCCAAAATCTCCGCAACCTGAAAGATCCCAAACAGAGCGCCCGGACAATCCAAAAGAGCGTCCAATATAGCTTCAAGACGGTCTATGATGCCCCCAAGACTGTCCAAGAGTGCTCCCAGAGGCCAGCGAAGAGGGCCTCAAGAGGCGAATACCACCCCATTCCATGAGGAAAGCATGCACTTTCGACATGCACGCCTTGAACATATGGACAGCGTCCAATACGGCCCGTGGAACCCTCAAGATCGTCCCAAGACGGCCTACAAGAGGGCCCCAGGGCGGCCCAATAGAGCCCGAAGGGGGCCCAAGGGGGCCCCAAGACGGCCCCTAAAACGGCCCAGGATGGAAAAACGAAGTGACATCTCGAGACTTTCCCGTCGTGATGGCCCCAGGAAACCCCAAGTGATCCCCGAGGTGCCCTCAAGAGGTCCCAGGAGGCTTCCAAGAGGCACCCACGAGGCCAAGAGGCCCCCGCAAGGCCCACCAAGGCCCACCAGATCCCCCAAAGAGTCCTCCAAGAGGCCCCTGAGAGGCATCCCAGCAGACCTTCATATGCATCCCCGGAGCTCCTGACCCACAGGCCGCGCGCACGCTGGCACAAATCTTGACGAACTCACTGTGATGGTGGTCGGCGGAAAGGCGTAAGCCTCTTGAGTGCGATCCCAGAGAGCCCCACGATGGCCGAAGAGGGCCCCAAGCACCCAATAATGCCCCGAAGGGTCGAAAAGAGCCCCAAGACAGCCCGCAGACGGGCCAAGAGAGAGCTGTCTTCAGTTCTCCCCCCCGTTTCACCAATGGCTGGGGGGAACGTCCATAGGTCGGGGGAACGAGAGACAGAGGGAATGAGAGAGAGAGGTAGAACGAGAGAGAGAGAGAGACAGATCAAGGTAGATAGAGAGAGAGAGGCAGAGCGCGATGAACAGTGCCTTTGAGACTTGTGCGCTTCTAGCTGCCAGTGGCCAAACATAAGGACTGCACAAGGCTAATTACAAACCCTCGGACCAATCAGATTCTGACACTGTGGCGTTAATCCTGCTCCTGTCGGGGCAAACATGGGCCGACATCTCCACCTCTCGCTGGCAGGCAGCAAGCCGTCCAATACTCGGTGTCAGTTATCGCTGCTCATACCCTTTTCCATTCCTGTTCATACATGCCCACATCGCCTGACAACGAATGACAGAACACGCGACGCCTAGAACAGAACCAAGATGGAAACCGAGATGCTATCCGTGCGCGCGACTCCACAATGATACCAGTGGACATGGACCCATACAAGCGGAAGCCTACTAGTGCTGCAGGCTTGCCAACGACAATCGTCAGGTCCTCTTGCAATGCCCCGATGCCAGAACTTTGAGAGAACTGTGAACCAACACGAACGAGAATGGTACATTCGATCGATGGGCGCGTTGCAACAATTCCACCAGGCTGTTTGCCTGTGCTAAATGTTGGTGGCTCCTCGGAACAAGACCACCAGCCGTATACCGCCCAACGACAGAACTCTGCTTTTACACTACGCCCTAGAATGTGTCGGGCTCCCTGTAGGAAGAGAACAAACACGGATGCAGCCCCTGGGAGCTCAATTTCAACGCCAACACTGCTTTATCCGAGGTCGAAAACCGTCCTACGCAGGCCAAGTCCCGCGAATTCTGGCCCGATGCCACGAACTCTGGCCGAATATTGGACGAAGTCTGACTTGACGGCCACTTGACCGGGCCCAGCGGCCCTAACAGCGTTCCCACTAAGATCTCCGAGGAGTCGCCTCCTCGCGCAACCCGACGCAGCGCAAGCACAACCTTGCAGGCCTGAGCGGACCAGACGCGCTGACTCTTTTCCGCAGCTTCACGCGCTCCGGCGACGAGGTGGCCACCCGCTGCGGGCTCCCGCGGCAGAGGCGCCCCTGGCGGCACGCATTCACGGTCTGGCCACGAGCAGCCTAACGCGCACACGCGTCCAGCGAGCCGGAGCCTCCTGTGGGTCACGAGGTCGGCGCTAGCCTTGTGGGACGGGCGGGGGGCCAATGCCAGCAGCTCCGTGCTGAGCTGCTTCGACGCGTTTCACCCTTCCCCCCCCCCTCCCTGCCTCTCCTCCCTCGTCCCCCCCTCTTCGTGCCAACGCGCTTCTTCGCGCTTGTGAAACAAAAATGGGACAGGGGGGGGAGAATCCGCGGTGGCTTCTGAGATCCAAAGCCCTGGTAGGCAAGCGGCAAGGTAGGCTCCCCGGCTCTGGGCACCCGTTGAGGAGACCTTTCGCTGGACCCTGCTGCGGAGATGGAGCTCCCGCGCTGGCTTCGGCGCTGAAGAAGTTGTGGTTTCCACTGATAAAGTAGTGGGTGGGTGCTGAGTGCGTGGTAGGGCTGCAAACGATGGGGTTCCTGGTAAGATGTCTTGCCGTCTCGCCGTCCTCTCGATGCGGCTGGGACCACCAGAAGTTGGCGCCGCAGTGCCTCCTTGCCCTCCTCTTCGTTCTCGTGGGCGTCCTCGATGTTGTCGTCTTGCCTACTCCTCCCCTCTAGGTTACTCCAGTCTCCTCCAGCATCGTCCTTCTCCGCACATCTGCTCTTGCTCATGTTATTCCTCCTTGCCCTCCTGATTATCCCTCTCCCCCTGCCTCCTCGACCTCCTCGACTTCCTGCTCAGGAGCTTCCGCCTCTCTCCTGCTCCGTATCGTCTTAACAATCCTCTCGATTGTGTCTTCTCCTCTTCATGCTCCTACCCCTACTGCTGCTGCCTATGGCTGGCCACTGCTGCCAACATCTGTCAGTGGCCAACCTCGACCTGCGGTGAAATTCCAGCGACAGCTAATATGGTCACACACATAACGTTAACCAGCGCAGTCGCAATTCGGATCATGATAGAAGAAATGCGCAGAGACACGTCTAGTATAATGCACAACGCGCACGGTAAGGCAGAGGCGAATCTGCAGCATGTTACCTGCAACCTGAAGTCAAACAACTGGGAGGTCAAATGAACACCACCATTTGGCTAGGTCTACAAGTCTGGTTGCCGTTCGAGCTGAGGTAGCCCAGGGTTTCAGCGACGTTGGCGGTGCCACGACACCAACAAGCAATCGCATGCCAAACGTAACGCAGCTGTGCTCAGGCGCGCTACGCGGCATGCACGTGCTGCAAGAAGCAACGGGAAGAGTAGGACAAACCAGCTATCAGGGATGGCCTGCAAATGAAGTTCAACTGCTTGGTAATGATGATCGGCGGGATGTGGCTAGCAAACACGAAGGAACAGAACGTCGCAGGCTCGCAGGCGCGAAGAACCCGATCAGACGGAGCTGGAACGTCGCGAGGCTGCCTGCCAGGAGCAAGCAAACACGAGACTGACTACAGCATACATGGGTGCAATGGGGGCACGCGCATCCCTAGACATGTACATACTACGCCTCTGCATAGCAGATACAATACATGGCCGCAAGCGCGAGACCATAATAGCGCGCGCTTCCCGCGCGCGCGCTGCTGAGATTCTTGCGCAGGGCAGGGTCACACGACGGACAGGATTCTATCGCAGCGCAAGGCACCTTCATATCGAGGCATGCGCAATGCTACGCGCGAGGCCTCAATGTGACTTGAAAGTGGCCACCTGGCCCCTTTCACGCTCTAAAATTGCCCCAAGATAACCCCTGATGCTCCAAGATGCACCCACGTTCGCCCAAGATGGCCCAACAATGTTGCGATACTGGCCCACGTCACGAACAACAAGCCGCAATCTTGCCCCAGAGGCGCCAGCATTGCCGCAAAATTGCCAATTTGGTCCGAAGGTGGCAGCGATACACCCCGATGTGCTTCCGAGCGAGCTCGAGATGACTCAAAAAAGCTACATGATAACCCAACACTTGCATTATACATAATATTTGTTTCCCTCACCACGTCTGCCGCTTCTGGTCAACTGACACAGAGTTGGTCCCAGGATGGCCTCTCGACGGCCCAGCAGAAGCCTTGGAACCCCCCGTGGCAATCCAGAAGCTGTTCATGTAGCCCGAGATCTCCACGCACAACCAATCCTCAGACGCCCCCACAATGGCACTAGAGGTCGCCTCGGCAACCCTGGGACCTCCCAAGATGCGCTCGCTAAGCACCAGGGGCCCCCAAGAGGCTGCCAAGACGACCCTTGAAGAGCGCCATCAGCAGATGCCCAATGCGCATTGGCTGAAGGCCGAAGGCTGACGACTACAGCGGCGTGACCATAGAAGATGAAACAACTACATAAATATACACTTTTGGCGCAACAGGCGGGTTTCTTGGATCTGCGCTGGAACCCACTCCCTGGCGCGCGGAGCGCGCCAGAAGCGGCGCCGGAGGCGCCGCCGGGAGGGCCCAGCGCGGATCCAAGAAATCCGCGCGGAGCTCCAAACGTTTATGTTTCTGTCGTTCTTTCTCCTTCGACCAGGGGTCCGACCAGTGGCGCGACCAGACTGAGCCACAAGCGACCGACGAAGATCAGCCACCCCCGGTGCCCCAGGAGGGGTGCCGGGTGCGCGTGCTCACCCAGAGGAGTCCGCCACGGTCTGAGTGCGTCGCCCTTCCCCCTGCCTCTCCTCCGCGGCCGTCCTCTCCTCCTACCACACCGTCTTTTTTGCGCCCTTCGCCTGGCTGCGGCCTCGCTCGGGCACCTTTCGGCTTTGTGCGTTTCCTTTGTGCTCGATAATCCAGGCTGCTCCTCGATAGTCCCCGCCGAGAAAAAATGCACACGTCCGGGCGATGCCAAGTATGTGCAGCCGCGAGACGCGAAGGGCGACCCCGAACACAGTGCGCGATCGCCATCGCTGCGACGAGCAGAAATGCGCCGACCCTGCGGTCGCACTTCGGCCTCCGGTATGAATCGCCAAGACCTCTCCACAAGTCGGGCGCTTCTCTATGGGGAGCAACAAACAGGAGGGTGAAACAAAGTACCCATCGGTCGGAAGAAGTAGGTAGAAACATGAAGTAGGAAGGCGTTAAAAGTAGATTGGGTTCCGTCCGCTCCCTTGGGAGGACGAAGTATGTGAAGCCACTCGATCATTGAAGTTGGAAGGCGCTTAAAGTAGGCTGAAATCTGGGAAACCAAAAATACCTACTGTCAACGACCGATGGGTGTACCTTTCATGCACCTTCGGGGCCCCAGGGAGCCCCTTTAGGGCCCCTTCTTCCTGCAGCCCTCGATCCCCCCGCTCCTTCTCCTCCTCCTCCTCATCCTCCTCCTCCCCCTCCTCCTCCCCCTCCTCCTCCTCCTCCTCTTCCTCCTCCTCCTCCTCCTCCTCCTCCTCCTCTTCCTCCTCCTCCTCCTCCTCCTCCTCCTCCCCCTCCTCCTCCTCCTCCTCCTCCTCCTCTTCCTCCTCCCCCTCCTCCTTCTCCTCCTCCTCGCACCGCCCCACCACTACGAAACGCCTAAGCAAGATTTTCGACTGCTGGCGCCAGGTGCGCCTTCCACCGGCTTTCGGGGGCCCGTGGGCGCCCCGCTGGTCCCAAGATGCCGAGATGGCCCAAGAGGCACCAAGCGTTAACTCGGGCGTGTCCCCCTACAGGGGGATTTTGTACGAAGAAAAAAAACGCAGAAAATGATCAAAGATGCCCCAACATACTAAAACAGATTCCCCATACGATGTTTTGAATATTTTTGAATATTCCCCTTGTAGAAGGACAGGCCCGACTTAAACCAAGCGCGGCCCAGAGCGGCCCCGAGGGCCCAAGAGGGCGTGAGACGACGCTGAGATGGCCCAAGAGGGGCTCCCCAGACGCCAGGATGGCCCACGAGGCCTACCAGACGGCCACAGACGCGCCAAAAGGCCCCTGAAAACCCGCCGTCGGGCGGTCAATGAAATTACTTGCTGAGGTATTCCAACGTTGTTCTGGCCTCCACGCTTTCAACTCAGATATCCAGGAGGGCGTCGGAGAGACGAAAGAAGGCCCATCAATACCCATAGCGTGCTCCAAGATGACCCGAAACCGCCCAGGCTGGCGGCTCCAGAGGGTCCCAAGACGGCTCAGAAGAGCCCCAACCAGTCCCAAGAAACTCCCACAAAGGCTAGGAGACCGAAACGGACCAAATACGGCAACTTCGTGTCTTGACGACCCCGTCGTTGGTTTCTAACACCGCGTCGATCGTTCAACCTTGAAAGGTCGGTTGCTTTTCAATCGCCAGAGCTTTCCATACAGGCCAATTCCGAACCACTGGCGGCGTTCCACGTTGAAAGGCCGCTCCAGGGTCGCCGCCGAGTCAACACATCACGGACCTCCCATTCTTGAGGTCCCTGGGGGTCCCTGGAGGCCCCCTGGAGGTCTGTAGACGACGACGATGACGACGACGGACGACGACGACGACGACGACGACGACGACGACGACGACGACGACGACGACGACGACGACGACGACCGACGACGGCCACGACAATGACGACGACGACGACAACGACGACGACGACGACGACGGACAACGACAACGACAACGACAACGACAACGACAACGGCAACGACGACGACGGCGACGACGACGGCGGGGTCGCCCTGCTGCTCGGGTCGTCCGTGAAGTACTTGAAGCCCTCCGAGGACGGGACGTGCCGCGCATGGCCGTTGCCCCAGCGGACCTCGGCGCCGAGAATGCGCGCGTGCGCGCGCGGGGGATGGGCAGCGGGGAAACAGCCATCGTGCTACCATAAGGGGGCGCAGAAGTGAAGGGGCCCTGGGACACACAAATAAATAGACACAAATAACACGATCCCCCATATTTTCTAATATTTTCTGGGTTTTTGTCTTCCCCCGCACTTCCCATATTTTCCCATATTTTCTGGGAATCGTCGATTAATTGTGTCTGTGTGTTTTTTTCCCTCCTGAAGAAGGAAGAACGAGGGAGCCTTTCCGGCCACGGCCGGCCTGGGCCACAAAAAGGGCTCGACGACAGAGGCCAGGGATCGGCCCGAACATCAGCGCCCCTCCCGAGTCCACGGAGGTCCTTACCTCAGCGTTTGACCACATCGCTGCCGAGTTGGCTCGGCTTCACGCAAGAGTGATAGGCAAGCGTAACCTTTGGTGCGCGGCTCAACGAGGGACGTGGGGTGGCCAACACTGGGCGCGCAAGACGCTGCTGCCGCTTCGCATCCAGCGATCGAAGGGACCCCGATGAGCCCGCACCACAGGTCACTGCGGCGAAGGGTCACTCTTACGTGTAGTCGACTTGCGGCTACCGCGTACTGAGCATCGGCAGCGCCCGTGGATCCACCACTGCCGCGGCCCCCACTGCCGCTGCTGGCCGCGCCGGCGCGCTCGGGGTTGAACTCTTCCACGTCTGAGTGCCCTCCGCCTCCCCCTGTCCTCCGCGGCCGCCCTGTCCGTCTCATTCTCCCTCCCTTGCACGCCGGCCAATGTCCCATTCGGTTGCCCCGAAACGCCACACGCTGGTACGGACCGCCTCGGCCTCGCCGCTGACGAAAACTCTCCGCGTCGCATCGCCAGGACGAGCGGTCTGCGTCGCATCGCGTTGCCGCCTCGAAACGGACGACGTGGCCTTGCCGGTCGAAGCGCGCCGTGCGCGCTGCGCGCCGAACCGGAGCGTTCCGCCAGCCCAGGGCCGCCGACGGAGGCAAGCATCAGATGTTTCCATCCTGCTCCTCCTCCTCCCCCTAGGATGTCTTCCTCCGCCTCCTCCTCCTCCTCCTCCAGCTTCTCCCCCCCTCATCCTCCTCCTCCTCCTCCTCCTTCTCCTCCTCCTTTTCCTCCTCCTCCTCCTCCTCCTCCTCCTCCTCCTCCTACTCCTCCTCCTCCCCCTCTTCGGGCGGCGGCGAGAGCGGTGGAGGGGGCTGAGGAGGAGGAAGAGGAGGAGGAGGAGGAGGAGGAGGAGGAGGAGGAGGAGGAGGAGGAGGAGGAGCGAGGGGGAGCGAGGGGGAGGAAGGGGGCGAGGACGGAGGGAGCGCTGGCGGCGCGCACCTGTAGGGGCAGGGGGGGGGGCGGCTGCGAGAGGCTGTAGGGTCGAGGCTCCAGGATCGGGGCTCGAAGCTCGAGGGTCAAAGGTCGAGGCTCGAGGCTCGAGGGGCACGAGGGTCGAGGCTGGAGGGTCGAGGCCCGAGGATCGAGGAGCGAGGTCCGAGGATCGAGGTTCGAGGAGCGAGGTCCGAAGTCAAGGATCGAGGCTGCAAGGCATTTACCATTATTTCGGCATGACTCGTGGCCATGGCCGGATCCGCTCCGAAATTCTTGTCGGAGCTTACCCCGCGCAGGATTCCCAGGTCAGGTCACCTAGACTGGCGCATGGCGCCCCGCGATCCGCGACCTGCGGCCATCGTTTCTCAGCAGGCGGTGGGGCTTCTTAGGAACCCTGCAGCCTTCTGACAAGCAGTCTGCTGCCGCGGAGACAGCTTACAAGGCTTCTCCGGAGGCGCGAGGGCTTCTGCGAAGCCCTGCCGCTTTCTTAGAAGGCCTGCCCCGTCTCACTTCCCTCCCGGGCCCGCCGCCGAGGGAAGCAGCGCGCGAGACCCCGGACTCGGGCCCGATCCGCGAGTCGCGCGCGCGGGCGCGCACGGGCGCCGGGCCATGCGGCCGCCTGACTTGCTCCACGCCTGCGGGGGACGCTGCCTAGCAATCCCCATCCTCGTCCAGGCGCTGCTGCTGCTCCTCCTCCAATTCCTCGTCGTTCTGGTAGAATTACTAAGAACTACACCGCACACAGCGCGCTTGCACACAGGATGGCTCCGAGTTGACTTCTTCTCCTCCTCCTCTTCTCCTCCTCCTCCTCCTCCTCCTGCAGTGCTTCCTCCTCTTGCAGCTCCTCCTCGCCCTCCTCTCCCTCCCCCCTCTCCCTGCTGACCCTCCAGGCAGCTGGTCACTCCTTCCCTCTCCCCTCGCCCTGGTCACCCTCGGGACTGCTGGGCTCAGCCGTTGTTTGGCGGTGCGCCGAGAGGGGTAGGGGGGGGGAAGGCTTCTTAGGAACACCTCTGCTTCTTAGAAGGCGCGGGCCTTCTCTATAGATGTAAGGCCAGCGCCTTCTAAGAACCAACCTCCTTCTAATAAGCATTCCAGAGTATAGGTGGAAGTGCTTGTCAGGAGGCGGCGAAGCGGGCCGCTCGAGAGATGACGATGGCAATCGTGTTTCTGAGGCGCCCGCCCCTGCGTGCCGACCCCCTCTGCCCAACTCCCCCTCCTCCTCCTCCTCCTCCTCCTCCTCCTCGCCCTCCTCCTCCTCCTCCTCCTCCTCCTCCTCCTCGCCTCCTCGTCCTCCTCCTCCTCGTCCTCCTCCCCTCCTCCTCCTCCTCCCACCTCCTGCTCCGCCTCGCAACTTCTCCTCCTCCTCCTCCTCCTCCTCCTCCTCCTCCTCCTCCTCCTCCTCCTTATCCTCCTCCTACACCTCCTCCTTCTCCTCCCCCTCATCCTCCGCCTCCGCCGCCGCCACCGCCGCCGCCTCCGTCGCCGCCGCCGCAGCCGCCGCTCCCTCCTCCTCCTCCTCCTCCTCCTCCATCATCATCATCATCATCATCATCATCATCATCAGCATCAGCATCAGCATCAGCATCAGCATCAGCATCAGCATCAGCATCACATCATCATCATCATCATCATCATCATCATCATCATCATCATCATCATCATCATCATCATCATCATCATCATCATCATCATCATCATCATCATCATCATCATCGCAGCAGCATCCTTCTCCTCCTCCTCCTATTCCTCCTCCTCGTCCTCCTCCCCTCCTCCTCCTCCTCCTCCTCCTCCTTCTCCCCCCCCTCTTCCTCCTCCTCCTCCTCCTCCTCCTCGTCCTCCTCCTCCTCCTCCTCCACCTTCTCCTCCTCCTCCTCATCCCTCCTCCTCATCCTCCTCCTCCTCCTCCTCCTCCGCCTCCTCCTCCTCCTCCTCCTCCCTCCCCTCCTCCTCCTCCTCCTCCTCCTCGCCCTCATCCTCCTCCCCCTCCTCGCTGCTTCTCCTCGCTTTCCACGGCCCTCTGCTTCTCCACACCCTCCTAATACTCGCCCAGCTGCTCCCCACGCTCCTCCCAAACATTATGTTGCGTCAGGCGGACTTGAGCAACTAGGCTGTAACGTTCTGGCGGCAGGGAAAGAGCACGAACACCGCCAAAGTATAGACAAAGCGGTGCAGAAGGTGTAAAGAGAAACGGATCCCCATCCTCCTCCTCCTCCTCCTCCTCCTTCTCCTCCTCTTCCGCCTCCACCTCCTCCTCCTCCTCCTCCTCCTCCTCCTCCTCTTCCACCACCACCTCTCCGTCCTGCCCTGCTCCTTCTCTTCCTCTTTCCCTCGTCCTCCGCCCGCTCCTTCTCCGAAACGCGTCCTCCACCCGCTCTCCCCTCCTTCCCCCTCCTGCTCCTGGTAGGGGCAGACCCTCTATCCACGCCTGGGGGGGGGGGGGGGGCGATTCCCCACCTAGGATGAGGAGGATGAGGAGGAGGAGGAGGAGAGGAGGAGAGGAGGAGGTTCGAGGAGAACCAAGATGAATCTGCTATTCCATACGTGTTGCACTACCCGCTATGCACGTGACGTCAGCTGAATTGTTATCACAAGCCTAGACAGGCGTTTTCCTTTTTCTCTCGACGCCCCACTTCACTGGCACGACGCAACAGCCTGGAGATGCCCATGGCCACTGTATTCGACTCCCCTTCCTCTACTCGGCGACAGTTCTTCCGCTCCAAGCCCCTCTGTTGCCGGACGGGCCTGCTGCCGAATTCACCATCGTTCGCCATGCTGACTAAGTCGGCCTTTTATTGTACATCTTATGATCGTTAGAGCCTCGATGCTCAAGTCCGCCCAAAACATAAGGAGAGCCATCGAGGTTTCTCGATGATATAGATCGAAGAGGAGGGTGGACATCCGAAAACGAAACGGATCGATGAACCAGGTCTCTAGGCGTTTCCGGTTTCCTCCCTGCGCCCTACTTCTTGTGATGCCGTTCACGGCAAGGCTGATAACGTGGGGCAAGTCGAGGATCGACGATCCAGTCTTGCATCACGAAAAGGATGTCATGGTGCTAATGTTCGCACTGGTTGGGAGAAAAAGGCATAAGCATCAAATAGAACGGCACGGAGACCACTTTGGGATTCTGCCCGCCCAATCAAGAGAAGGGAAGAGGGAAAGCCGTGCAGCACCTGCGACAGGAAGGCAAATCAAGCAGATTGGGACATTGGGGTCCATACTCCGAGTTTCTCCGTACACGTCGGGGTGTGGCGTCACCCCTGCCGACAGCCCCGCATCGACCCCCGTCGCGGGCAGCCACTGTGCGCCGAAGGCGCTCCGACCCCCGTCGCGGCGCGACGACGAGGCGACGTTGACCCCCGTCGGGGGGTACCCGTCGGGGAGTATCCAAAACACCTGCTTTCGACGACCGATGGGTAGCTCAGGATGCGCTCCCGAATCCCTGGAGGATCCTGGTGGCCCTCGCCTTCGGAGTCTGCGCGGGCGGCGGGAAGATCCGGGAACGGCGGAACTTCTCGTCATCGTGCCCCCCCCGCTCCTGTGGCCTTGCGCGGTACTGACTTGCAGCTCTGGGCCTCCAGAGGCCTCCCAAGAGGAGGAGGGAGAGGAAGGAGGAAGGAGGAAGGGGGAAGAAGGAAGGAGGAAGGAGGAAGGAGAAAGGAAGAGGAGAAGGGGAAGGAGGAGGGGCAGGGAGGAGGAGGAGGAGGAGGAGGAAGAGGAGGAGTAGGAGGAGGAAGAGGAGGAGGAGGAGGAGGAGGAGGGAGGCGGAGGAGGAGGAGGAGGAGGAGGAGGAGGAGGAAGCCTCCACGAGGCATCGAGACGCCCCGCGACAGCGACGGCGGCGACCGCGGACGCAGAACTCGACGACAGCGACAGCGACGAAGGCGAAGAGCCACGACCACAACGGCGACGACGCCCCGCGCGCCATCCTTCAGGGCCCCGCAAATGAGGACTTTGACAAACCAGGACGTTGGTGCGCCCGAGAAGGCTAGAGCCGTGGAAGAAATGTGGTACATTCTACATCCTCAGCCGAGTCTTAGGGCGGGCATGTCCTCCTACAGGTGGATTTTGAAGGACAAATAGAACATCTTAAACATGTTCACAACTAGCCAGAACAAAACAAAACAACTCGTCACCATACTATGTTTTACTACTCTTGCATTTTCCTCCTGTAGAGGGACATGCCTGATTTCAGCCGAGTCCTGACCAGCAATGCCCTGGTTCAGCGGGACCTCAGTGGCAAGACGTCGACTTGTAGCGCGGGTCACGATGAGCGACCTCAGGCGTGGCTCCCGCAGTGGTTCCAAGATGGCTCCCAAGCTTGCCAGCCATCAAGACCAGCCATGGGCACCGCCTCAGCTGGGGGAGCCCTGGAACCAGAGGGGCGCCGCAGGAACACAGCGTTGGACCCCAGGTGGGCGTAAGCGCTGTGTCGCTCTCTTCCCAGCCCTGAAGCCCACCTGGAGCAACTCGACGGCGGCGACGACAGCGTCGCGCAGAGCCACGACAGCGACGGCGGGCGCAGAATCCGAGGACAACGACGGCGACGACGAAGACCGCGACCGCGACCGCGACCGCGACCACGACCACGACGACGCCCAGCACGCCGGCCCCCGGGAGCGCCTCGCCGCCAGACCTGTTCCAGCCGTCCTCTCCAGGCGGCCCCTGCAGGCTGTTCCCCCGCTGGCGCAGCATCTTCCCCTGAGGCCCGGGCCGCGCCCCCCTCCCGCCCACGCACCCGCGCCCCCCCGCCTGAGGCCAACCCGGGCGAGCGCCCCGTGGGCTCCTCTGCTGCACTTCGCCCCCCCCGTCGCCCCCATCGCCCCGATCTCCGCCGCACCCCGTCCCTCCCCGACGTCCCCCGCCCCTGCTCCGCTGCTGCAGCCTCCTCTTCCCCGCCCTGGCCCTCCCGCGCCCTCTCTCTCTCTCTTTTACTTTTTTTTTCTCTCTCTCTCTCCCTCTCTCTCTCTCTCTCCATCTCTCTCTCTCTCTCTCTCTCTCTCTCCGTGGCACCCTGCGAAGGGGAGGAGGGACGGGGAGGAGGAGCGGGAGGCACAACGTCGTGTGATGGGGAGGAGGAGGACGACAAGGAGGAGGAGGAGGAGGAGGAGGAGAAGGAGGAGGAGGAGGAGGAAGAGGAGGAGGAGGAAGTGCTTCCTGTCTGGATTTTGCCAGGGGCGGGTTTGGCCATCGGCTTTCCCCACTCGCCGCATCGAAGGCATCGGAGGAGGAGGAGGAGGAGGAAAAGAAGGAGGAAAAAGGAGGACCAAGACGAGAACGAGGAGGAGGAGGACGAGGAGGAGGAGGAGGAGGAGGAGGAGGAGGAGGAGGAGTAATGGGGGAGAGGGGAGGGGGATGAGGGAAGCAAGGCGCGCTCGCGCCACATCAAAATCCTCAAACAGGAAGTGGCGGATGAGCAGGAGGACGAGAATGATGGAGGAGGCGGAGGAGGAGGAGGAGGCTCGAAGCAGCATGAGCAGGAATAGGGGGACCTAGGGATGGCGGAGGAGGGGAAACTAGGGGGCGACAGCGCCGAGGAAGGATTCGGGTCCAGAAGTGGGGCTCAAACACGGGCGACACGACCATTCTGAACGACGGGAGCAAAGCGCCGATCCGAAACTGTGTCCGTCAAAGAATGGAGGATGAGTACGAGGAGAAGGAGAAGGAGGCTAGGTTAAGTTAGGACAGCCCCGGGGGGAAGAGACTCGTACATCTGAAACTTGGGTAAAGCACCCATCAGAGATGGATTTGTCACCCTGGAGGACAGAGCTCCCAGCACTAAGACCCAGGCTGCGGCAAGGTGCCAAGACCGAAGCTATTCCTCCGCCTCGTGAGCCAGTCTGGCTCTCACAAGCTCCTGGAGTGCAGGAAACCGTCTCTCGTAATCGGGAACGGAAGGGGGCACAGGAGTGCGCGGAGCGGGTACGAGCACGAGTCTTACAACGCGATGTAGGCCGCACTTGCAACGCTGACACCGCAACAGCTTTGTCAATGTACTGCCTGGCGCGGTTGCTAGGGCGCACACCCTTGGCGTAGTTACTAAGCACCTCGCGGCCTTTCCTCGTGGGCGTCAAGCAGACCTTCTCCAGGTACGAGAGCAATGCTTGGCCCAACAACCACAATGAATGCACACAAGCTGTACACGGTGGTGTTTAGCTCTGGGGGCACTGGGGATTTGAGGCGGATCTCGTGAGAGGCCACACCAACGAGAAGGTGCCCCAGGGGACGGCGAACGACCTGACAAACACATTCGGGGGCCCCTGAGCATCAAGGCCTCGTGCGGGGAGCTTTCGTAACCGTTCATCGGGCAATGCTTGCACTGTGTTCCAAACGGGCCCTGCCCCCACTCATGCCATCCAGTAGAATGTTTAATGACTTATGGCGTGCAATAGGTCGCCCGTATTTAGACCTGGCCTGGAAAACGGGGAGCACAGCTGCAGCAAGCTTGATAAAGAGGGAGGCCTTCTTGACCTCACCTTCCAACATGCTGGCCGCCTTTGGGCCAAGAGGTCGATGCAACTTAAGCGCCTCTTTGGCGTGGGTGTCGGCAGCACGTTGAGCCTTCGCTGGGCCACGCCCAACAGGCGATAAAAGGTATTTGTCGCGTCCCCGCTTCGGTTGGTTTTGACGTGCTGGATGGACCCGACGTGTCCATACCTTTTTCTAAGGACAGGGCGAAAGCTGAGACTCCTGCGAGCACCCGACTGGCACGACGCTGTTCGCGTTCGGGCAAGATGGCTTGGGCTATGGCAGCCTTACAGTCCGCATGGATATAAGTGCTGTGGTCAGCTATTTGACAGGCGACGGCTTAGGACAAATTCTCAGCCATAGCGAGATTATGCGGACAACCTCCTAGCACAGTGCCGCGCAAAACAAACAGTGGCACCGAGCTGCTGCCGCCCACTGCTCGGTTAAGTTTGGTGCCTGGGCCAATAGTGATGGCGGTTTCCTCGGGACCGCGGTCGGGGAAATGCTCTCCTTCACCATTCAGCACATGAGCGCGCGAGGCTCCGAGCATGGGAGGGATGTCCCCTGGCAGCACCGAAACCACCTCTTTGCAAATTGTCAAACTCTCAGGGCCCCCCTGGGGCCTCCTCTAGGAATGACGCGGGGACTTCAGAGTCAGACCGTGCCTGTGAAACTGCAGGGATTGCGACAATCAGTGCGGTGGTGCACAATTGCAGGGACTCCACATTCACAGAGTTCCGCTGCGGGAGCGCAGTGCCCACTGGCATGGGCCATCTGCTCCGTCTACCGGCAATCACAAGCGGCAGCGCGGACTAGATACTTTGGAAACTTCGTATACTTGGCCAGCTTGGCCAATCAGACAATCCTGGCCACTTCCACGCAATCCCTGGCCCCACCACATAGCCCCCACCTCTCCCCCAACGCCTCCTCAATGGCATCCTGGAGCGCAGCGCTAAACATCCTTCTAAGCACGGCGGGGTTTGACGGTGTGAGCCGAATCGCGATGCCGTCCTGGGTCGCCCCCGCAGTGGCTGAGGCAGGCTTCCACCTTACTCGGAGAAGGCAAAGCGGCACCCTGGAAATTGAGTCTCGGATCTGGGCCTGCGTGAGGTCAGCTCCTTTGCTGGCTGCGGATGCGCGCGAGCTCTGGCGCGGATGCGCGCGAGCTCTGGCGCGCTCGCCAAGGCGACATCGGGAAAAGAGACGGCTTGCCAGATCATTCTGCACCGCTGAAGCGCAGGTGCCATGGCCTCTCGCACAGCTCGCTCACCATGCGGGACAAGCTTGGCGAGGAGGCTGGCACCTCGCGCCGCTGGCACCGCGTAGAACATTGCCTGACGACGGATGGCGAGCAACTCCATGTCATCAACTCCGATGATTCCAGCGCCGCACTGCGCAGCCGTCTTGATGCCAGCCGTGTGGACTCGTCCCAGTCACTCATCGGCTGTCTTCATGGACTTGCGCGTGGCCGCCTTGGCCAAGCGCTCCGAAGACTTTGCGCGACCCGGCGCGCTTCTTCCGAGCAGCATGTGGGTGGGCACGGAAACGACCACAAGCGAAATTCGTGCCCAGGTAGGAGACGACCACGTTAGATTTGTCTTTGGGCACCCGTCTTGTCCGCCACTTCCTGTCCTAGCTGCGGGTCGCTGGACGTGGTGGCGGCCTTGTCGTTGCGGGTCGCCTTCGACCTCTTCGATGCCTCCTGGAAGGGGCTGCCAGCCTGGACAGCAGACCCAATATCAATACCGCCATCTTTTCCACGCGCGTGAACTCCAGCGTCATCGATGTAACTCATGAAGTCTGCATGCGGGTTTCGCTGAATGAACCATCATACTCTGTGGTTTTGAACGCACGGGCAGACACGCCAACAGATGCGCGACCAGCTGGTTGACCACGGGTGGCAGAAAGAGCACGACCATTGCGGTGGAGCCCAAGACGGGTGATGCGAGGGGCTTGTAACATATTGTGAACCAACTTGAAGGCGGGCATGGCATGCCATGCGCCAGCAGCCGATCTCTCAAGACAGCGAGGGGCATGCCTTTGTATAACCTGCTGTAGTCCACCAAGAACAACAAGCTGCGCCTGCCTTCGCTCGCCTCGGACACGCTGCGAGCCGCCTGGAGCCGCGGAAGGTCGAGGGCACTTCTGCGGGAACGAGCTCCCCAGCACGGGCGGCACAGACAGCGATGTGGCTCAACGAGATCTCGACGCCATACTCGGCGCAGTCCAGAGCACAAGATAATCAGGCGATGCCCCTGGTCGGGTTTGGCAGGCATAAGCATCGCAATGGTGTGCAACTGCCTCGGCAGACGACCACTGCGCTCGCAGGCCTCCAAAATCGACGCCATGGCCTCCAAACCAGCATCTGAGAACAACGCAAAATGGCGAGGATGGATGCGATCATCGCTCGACGCTGTAGCACGTGGAGATATGTCGGCCACCTCTCGCACGAGGTCACCTCTCGTATAACATCGCCACTGACCATAGGCAACGCCGACCGATCTGTTGACCGAGCTTGGCTCTGATATTGACTGGCACGTCGCGGGCCCTGATGCTTGCTGACCGCTGCCATCATGAAGATGGGCCAACGATCTACCGTCTTTCCGAACTAGAATCAGGTGGGGTGCATCAGGAACTGCGGTTGTACGGCGGAGGCCGCGGCTACCTCCTGCCGCCGCTGAGTCGCACCAATCCTGCCACCTCTGATTGCCATCTCTACCTCCACCAAGCTCGGGGCAGCGCGCACCGCCATCGATATCTGCTGACCTAGTTTCAGAACATAAACAGAAATGTGGCAGTCACAGTGAAGACGCGGGCCACGCTTGTCACAAAATCAAGTTCTTCCGACGTCGCCTGCGGCCGATCTCGACTAGAAGTGCCCCCGCTCTGGCCGCGCTTGCCGGGGGCCGGGGGCCGGGGCCCTCGGCCAGAGGAGGCGACGCAAGGCGGCCCAATGCTCGCCGGGGGGGGCGGAGAGGCGCCCAGCCTGGATCCGATGTTAGGACCGCTAGTCTGAGGCGCCCCAATGATGATGACGGCGCATCTGACGCACGAGTCCAAGACATCGTTTATTCACCGCAATACCTGGGCCCATCGGGTCGATCACCATCGCCGGGTCGATGTAGAGCTCTGTTCTGGGCGCGACCAGATGCGCCACTGCCGAGATAGACGGCGAAACATCTCGGACCTTTTCCAGCGCGAGCCTTATGTTGGGGCACGAGGTGCCAGCGCGG